GATAAAATATGCAAATTATCTCCTGTACCGGCCTGAATATAGACAAACCCTCCTCCTTCACCATCTTCTTCACAGCTGGAACAGCCGTCACGAACACGCGATTACATCTGATTGGTTATAACACAAACCACGTGATAAAATATGCAAATTATCTCCTGTACCGGCCTGAATATAGACAAACCCTATGCACAAGCTCATGCCAATCCCCTCACAGTGTACTATACGCAATACGTTTCTGTTCTACTTTCTGTTTACGTTCGTGGACCGGTTAGTTTACGTTTCAGCTGACCTCAGGGTTAAACACTACAATCCCTCCCCTTTTCAAACGAAAAGATTTCAATTTGACGGTTGCTAAATATCAAATTAGAAACTCAACTTTACTTATGCTCATAGGGTCTATGTCCCCCAGGTTACTGCCGGAACGTACCTTGGGTACGGTCCGGTATACCGGAACGTACCCTGGTAACTATCTGATATGGTTAGGGTTAGGGTTAGAGAGTAGGTGTAGGCGACTCCCTAGACTCGTTAGTGGAGTAGGCGAGGTACGGTCCAGCATATTAGATAGTACCAGGGTACGTTCCGGCAGTACCCTGGGGGACATAGACCCTCTCAGCTTTACTTATATACGGAGTTGGAATCACGCTGGTTAATATACAATCCAGTCTCTGTGTCTATAATTGACGTGGAATAGTAGTCATGGTTTTGTCAGGTACTGTTATGAAAATAACCTCTTTAAATCTACATTCCTGTAACTGGTATTCTAAGCCTTTTATAATACGATGTTCATCCTAACACTAGCATAACACGCTTCTATGTGGCTTATATTCAGTCAACTAAGCAATACAACTCTGCAAATCTCAAACTAACACAAACAGGATAACTCAACTTATAACTCTATACTGTACTTGTACTAACTACTAACCAACTCTGTACTTGTAGTAGAGAATTACTAGAGTAGTAGAGATAGACACAAATGGTTCAAATTAAACATGAACTTTCATATTTCCGTAGACTGACTAATAGTTCTAATCGTTACTATAAGGAATTATTCTGCTCTTATAACATAGTACTGATGTATATATATGTATATATATATCAAGAGCTAATAAACACCTAGAGTGTACAACGGAAAAATGGGAAAATAGTGCTATTTCATGGCAATATTATTCTACTTTGCCTGCGAGTCTAGAATAATTTTATGGCTTCAGCGAGGCACTTCAGAAAAGTAAGGGCTGGGAGATATTTATAAGGGCTAGTAGATTTTACAGGTCACTAGCCCTGCTGGCTAGTGAACATTTTAGGTTAGTTTCAAGCCCTGTTTATGGTGCGTTTTTCGAGACTAGAACTTCCAAACTGGGTTTATTCTAAACACAAACCTTTCTCCGCTATCCTGGGACTTACTATGTAGTATGTATCACAATACTCTGTATTAAACTAATAATAATATAACCTGTCACAAAATTTCGAAGCGACGAGCGGCGATATTTCGAGCGCCATTTCTGTTGACCTGTTACGTACGCATTCCCAATGCGCATAGCATTCGGCTAACTTTGGCTCCTGTGTTGCCTGACATGCTGGCTAGCTCTGGTGATATCATGACTGACAGCAGGCATCCCATGATGCATTCTATCTTGGAGCCAAAGTTAGCCGAACGCTATGCGCATTGGGAATGCGTACGTCACAGGTCAACAGAAATGGCGCTTGAAATATCGCCGCTCGTCGCTTCGAAATTTTGTAACAGGTTATATTAGTTTAATACAGAGTATTGTGATACATAGTAAGTCCCAGGATTCCAATTCCTAGAATATCGTCCATATATAATCATTGTCATCTTCTAAAACTACAGACCATCCGCTGACCGCTGTGGAGACGTGCGCCGGGCCTCGAATTTGGCGCACGTCTCCACTGCGGACAGCGCTTCATATTTGAACATCCCCCTGGTCGCGTGCGCATATCCCGCGGAACTGCGCGTCTCATCCGCGCGCAGCGCTTAGGATCAACAGCAAAGCTGTGCCACGCAATCTTGGGCCCAAGGATAGAGAAAATGGGTCCCAATAAAACCAATGTGCCTAACCATAATTCTAACCCTAATCCTAACCATAACCCTAACCTATTATATTGATATAATATTATATTTATAATATTGATGTACCTAAATGACATTGGTTTTATATTGGGACCCATGTTCTCTATCCTTGAACCCAATCTTGTATCATGTCTCTCTGGATTTGAGGTGGTACTGGTAATGACGATCATGTATGGAATGGGTAGATGATATTGATACTGATAGTGATAGATCCCGCCTAAGCCAGGGTCAGGCTCACTCATAATCTCATTGACACTGACTGACTCAGTCATCGGCATTGCCACATTGGAGTCAACGAACTAGAGTCTAGACTAGTTACAATTTCATTAGTTACCTCGATGCTATCACCAAATCCAGCTGATCCAGGAGCCATTTTAGCCCATATGACGATACGCTTTTCTTGACCTAATATAAATCGCGTAAACTACTTTTTAAGATTTGATTACATATTCTAAATGCATGTTTTGTTTGTTTTGAGATTTCTAAATTTGCGGGTGAATGCGCTTTTGTTATAAACTGTCACTAAGAACTATAATGATAGAGGGCGCGCGGCAGTGATGCTTTTTGATGCATGTGAACTTTTGTTGTTGATTTTTGTACATATACATTGATATAGCTAGCTGTAGATCCGAACAGTTACTAAAATGACAGAAGTGAGTAATTTGGCATTAGTCACTAATGTGGCCGAGTATTTAACCCTACTAATAGGTCATAGACTATAGTACTACATCACATGTTGGACCCCGGCGGTGAGATACAATCACTGGCAGCAAGATTGCCAAGAACAAGTCCGCACCTGCAGCTACAGCCTACAGCACACACGCATCTATTGACTATATATATATACAACATGGTGCTTAAACTCCGCCGCCGCACTTTTTCACATGAACTCACGTCTTTCAATCAGTTGACAACTCCGGTGTTCCTGCAGGTGACGCCACCTTTCCAACTATCGTTGAATCGCGAAGACTGATTAACAAAGCTACACCGCCCATTTTGACAACTCGGCCGCCAGAATGAGAATGCTGTTCAAATACACCAGAAATTCCTCCAGAATATCCATGCCGAACCGATCTTTCGAATGTTTACCCGGCAAAAAGCAGCAGCAGGCAACACGTCTGAGCTGGCTGATTGGCTGCAGAACGTGGGTTGCGCATCTGTCTGCACATTAAATTGCTGCAGCCCAATCAGCGCAGCCGCCAACGGTTGGCCTGGCCGCGTTTTGTCGTCTGGTAACATAATCGAAGGATCGTTTAGATGGAGTATTTGAGGAACTTTTTCTGTGATTTGAGCGCTTTCTGGCGAGGCCAATCTGTTCAAAAATAGCGGGTTGGTAGCTTGTTTTTAAGCAGTATCCGCGCCGGATTCCAAGCGATAGTTGGAGACAGTGGCGTCAACGCTTGCAGGAAGACGGAGTTGTAATGGATGGAAAACGGTTGAGTTGTGGAAAGTCGCGGCTACGTTAGCACCATGTTGTATAGTCATTATAGGTCAGATATGATGCGTGTTGTGCTGTAGCTGCATGTGCGGACTTGTTCTTCCATGGTCCACGCTGGACTCTATTACTACTAAATGGAATAATGTAACGTGAACCAACCAAGATGTAGTGGTTACAACGCAAGGCGCTATTCTTTTTCTTTGGAGAGCCCCTGAGTGATTCACTCAGCGGTTTTATCAGGCTTGAAGAAACTTTTAACGCTCGCCCGCCGCCGAGGTAGTAGAAATCAGTAAGGGCTAGTTATAATGATCTCGGGTCTGCTTAACAACAGACCACCACTTCGCTTGAGCGAGTGGGTATCTTGCTACCAGATAACATATACTAGATACCTTTTTCAGCAATTACTACTTCGACCGAACTCAGATAATAAAGTAATGTACAAATTTGACGTGTGCAACATAATAAAATCAAACCTCTAAACTTAAACAAATAACAGTCACAAATACCTAGACATAAAATCAGTTCAAACCACCATTGAGTGCTCTGATGCCACAAGGGTTTCGTCTATATTCAGGCCGGTTACAGGAGATAATTTGATACTTTTTGTACGTGGTTTGTGTTCATAACCAAGTCAGATGATACGCCGGTGGAGAAGGAGGGAGAAGCTGGTTGGAGAAGGTGGGGGCGCAGCAAGGGAGAAGGTGGTGGTAGTGAGGGGGAGAAGCTGTGTGTGAGATAGTCGAGGAGATGCGGAGTATACTCGGAGGAGGATTGGTGGTGGAGAAGGAGGGAGGTGGTGGAGAAGGTTGCAGGACGTTGCCCTTCTCCCTGCACCACTTTCCCTTTCTCCCCACCTTCACCACCTTTCTCCACCACCTCCTTCTTCTCCGACCAGCTTTCTCCCTATCTTCCCTTCTTCTTTCGTCCACAGCAGCTCTCTCCCCCTGCCTTCCTTCTCCACCCAGCTTACTCCCCTCCTCCTTCCTCCACACCTTTCTCCCTTCTTCCCTTCCTCCTTCTCCACCAGGCTTTCTTCCCCTCCTTCTCCACTAGTATATCTTCCCCCTCACACTCCACCTCTCTCCCCTTCTTCCTCTTCCTCCTCCCTCCTCTCCTACCAATACACCGTCTTCTCCTCTCTCTTTTCCACTCCGCTTCTCCTCTTCCCTTCCTACTTCTCACCAGCG